GTTTTGTATTTAAATATAAGAGAAATACTTTCTTCAGTCTCAGTCTCATTCTCAGCGCATGACTTCTGCATTTGAGGTCACTACCATGTATCTCAGGTAGCCACTGTCGTAATCCCACAAATCTCTGTTTTTCTCTTCGTTTTCCCCGATTTCCGCCCTTGGTTGGTCCCAAAGAGAAAAATATACGCAATTAATGCGGGAAAGTTCAGAATTCAAATGACTTAGGATCCAAGAATGGCCTCAAACACGTGGATCACAATATTGTCCACAAGTTCACTTTTATATAAACGCTCAAGCTTCTCAGTTGTTGGAGGTATATGCACGAAAAGGAAGAGAAACGAAGAAAATGAATGAAGGATGTTTGAAGAATTTAATTCATTTTTGCTCTCCATTGACTGGAAAGAAAGCAGGCCACTGATTGTTTTTTTTTTTGAAGCAAGAATATTTGCTTTTCCTCTTGTTAGCTACCATAGTATGTCAAAAACCACCATCACTTTTTGCAAGGTTCCTAAGTTAAAATTACTATCACTTTTGTTGCCCTGTCTCTGGAGTATCGAATTAATTCAATTCTTTAAAATTTCAGCAATTCAATCAATCTAAACTTTCAGAATGCAAGTATGGCTGTAATGACAACCATCACATTTTTGCTGTCATTATTCGTAAGACACGGTAAACCCCCAACGCCTCCCTCCGCTTCTTCAGAAAATCATTCGGCAGAGGCGCCTCCATTCTGGAAGGCGATAGGCATATGTTTCAGGTTCGTCATTTCTACGGTAATCATTCAACCTCCATATCTTTCACGGTTAATTACATCTTTTTCCAGCAACAAACAGTTTATCATACAATTGTTTACCTTCGGTCTTGCATTCGCTGAACTTTGGGGTTTCATGGTTATTATGTCGGACATTATCACCGAGCAAGGCTACAATTTATACGGGTATTCATCTGAAGAGCTTTACTTGACCTTGTTCACACGTCCTAAGAATGACTGTGAATTTTCAGATATCCGACAGCATTAGCAGCGTTAATTGGAGTAGTTGCTTCTCTAATTTGCGGCGCAATCGCGGATTGCACAAAGAAGTTTAAAGAGTTGGTCCGTTTTTGCTGGATGTGCTTTGCCCTAGTCGCCATACTGATCAGAATTGTAAGTTTTTGTTGAGATATAAGTGAAAACGTAGTTCGAAAACCTATCTGATCACAATTCGATTTCTCTCGAAGTTGTTTGTTATGATACAAACGATTAAAAGACTTTATAAATAGACAAAAGAGTGTTGGCCCCGTCAGCTGGTTACATGTTATTCTAGAGCACTTGGAATAGCTAAGTACAACCTTGACCCAATGGATTCCATAGTTCTGGCATATGAGACCTGAATCAGTTGTCCAAATTATGAAATCTATTGAGTTAGGTGACAGGGTCAAACAATGAAGAACAAAAACAAGGTTGCAAACATTAGATTTAAAGATTTTGAAGATATCCATAACAGTTTTAGAACTCTTCAATTCCCTTAAACCTTTTAGGTCTTTCGTACGCGTTAGTTTGATTGTATTGCTGTTTTCATCTTTTCAACAAATTACAGATTGTAAATCTCCATATTAGTCTGCCTGATTTTTCTTCTCATTCCTCCCTTCCTCGTGCTCGCTATTGCACATTAATTAGTTCATTCATAAAAAACCAAAACTTATCGTTTATCTCCCCTGCATCACATAGTTCTCTTCGCCAGAACAAGATTCAAGGAAGGTGGTAACTCGTTTTGAATCTTTAATCAATAATTTTATAAATGGAGATAAGCATGGATTACTAATCCTCCAGAAAGCTTCCAGTTCATGGTATGATAGGTTGTTATTGTGTTGTAGAGCTTTACAAGAAATGTTGGGGTACAAAATAGACGATATTTGAAAAATTTGTAGAATACTGTTGAAAAAAATGCAGATCATTCTTAGACCTTAAGAACAATTTCATCCTAGTGGCTCCGTCACAAGTGGACCGGTCCCGGTGATTCAGTGGTTTTTCTACTCGCTTGTTCATTCCTTGGTGCGTTTTCGATTCCTCAGTTCCCCATCGGAGTAGAGATGGGAGTAGAGACTACTTTTCCCGTATACGAGGCAACTTCTTCTGGTCTTCTAGTTCTAAGCGGGTGAGTATTTCAGCCTGGTCACTCAATCAACTTTCAATTTCTCTTCCCCTACAGGCAGCTATGGATGTTCGTCATGTACTATGTGTTTGAAACAGCCAAAGATCTTAAGATGATATATGAATTCGATGAGGCGTCGACATCCGGGAATTGGCAGTGTTAGTCTTTCTTGAAATCAAAATTTTGATACAATTTTCTAATCATAACAGCGATTAGAGCAAGAAACTCAAAGCTTGCTCTAGATTCGTTATGTTTTGGTAGCTAACTCTGTGAGAATACAGCAATGTGTACATTTGTGATTTTTCAACCATGATTTTAGTGAATCTTGA